TTGTTTTACACTGTCAGAAGCACACACTTGGCCCAATCTTAGTGCTTCCCAAGTCGAATGCACCACAGCTTGCCCAAATCACAGTCACTTGGGCGGGCTTATGTCATGCCCTAATAAAGCGACGTAAATTCAGGCCTCTGAGTAAGGCAGAGAAAATCTTGGGCAAAGAAAAATGTTCAAAAGCAGAAATCCTTGGATGGTAGCACATGTTATTGAATGGAAATGTAGTGCGCTAAATGGTTATCGTATACATCTGTTATTATGATGTCTGCATTTCCGAAGTCTCGTTTATCTGACGCAACCTTATAAATTGTCTATATATACAGATAAAAGAAGCCTTCCCGGAAACCCAGCTCCATTTGCCAAACGCGGCTCGCGTGGGGTCCGTCTGCTAAGCTCGCCGGAGCAGCGCGGGCGATGCAGGCCTGCAAAAGCCAAGCCCGCCGAAGCAGCAGCTGCGTTTAACAACGGGGCCCCCGGCGCAGGACACGACAACGCTAGGCACACGGCCTACCCTCGCCGACGCGTGCTCCATTCCGATCTATTCGCCCGGCTGACTGTTGAAAGTGCACAGCTGCCGCCTGTCTTTGGACCGGAGCAGCATCCTAGCAGCAGCAGAAGCGACGAGGCCGACGCGACGCCGGGCGACATGCGGCGGAGAGGAGAGCCGACACACGGCTAGCTTTTTACCCTTTCCCGCCTGCCCGCCAAAGAAACACCGAACACACAACGGGGAACCGCTGTCTGTCTCTTCTCTCTCTCTCGTTCGCTCGCCCACTAATTCAGCAAAGAGATGGAGATCGAACGACCGACCGAAATAAGTTCGACGGCGGACAGCACGCTGCTTCCAACCTTATCCAGAGACACTAAGGTACCTTCCTTCTCGGTACGCTTTTCCTTTATTTTCGCGCTGTAGTGCAGGACAGACATGATTTAGGAGTGGGCGCGTAATGAAGGCGGCACACGAAGGTCCCTCCGGCAGTCGGCCCCGGACGAGTCACCGATTTTCAATAAAACAGCCCGCTTGATTTTCCACTCACTATACGGGAGCCCGGCCGTCAACCAGTGCAACGTTTTTTTTTTTTTTCCCTTCTTTCAGTCGGTTTCCAGCACACACGCACCGAGGCAGAGGCGATCGTACTAGAAGATGCGTTCCCTGAAGAAGTTACAGGAAAGGGTGCCCATGCGACTATGCTACGTATGGAAGAGGCGTGCGACCACGATTAAATTTTTTTTCCACACGCCGCCGGCCGCATTGCAAAATAAAACCGAGAGGAAAATGTCGATCTTATCAATTCGCTTTGGAGCTAACCCGTGCGCGACAAAAAAAATGAAAAAAAAAGAATCATGCTCTTCTGCCTGTGCTGGACCCCTTCTCCAGCAATGCAGTCACAGCTAGTGCACGAAATGCCACTCGCCGGATTCGATAGCAACGTGGGTGCCTCGCCAAAATGAAAAGCAAAGAAGAAAACGCAGCGATCGAGCAGGGGGGCACAAGGGAAATGCGTGGAAAGGAGTACCACCGCGCAATAAGCTATACGTCCGGAACGTCTCGGGGCACGGTCGTCATTCGCATCGACAAACGTTCCTCTCTACAAAAGCGGTGACGGCATGTGTGTAGCGGCGTGCTTTCCCATTCACGTTGGACCACGAGACAAGAGAGCTTTAGCGAAGTATACTCTTATATCGGCCCTCGACAACAAGACAAGCACAAGCGATATTTTCAAACGCGGCCACAAGCCTACACCGCAATGCGATTTAAGCCTACTGTGTCGACCCAACACGCGTTGAAAACGTGGTAGGTTTTATTACTCCCAGTTTAGTTCCGCTAATAAACCTACTTCGGGAGGGAGCCGTCCGGTCTGCGCCAAGTGAGTGAGTGAGTGAGAACATTATTATGGTCTAAAAGTGGCAGACGTTGAACGGGACCGTTGAACGGGCTAGGTCTGCCAGGTGGCTCCACCTAGGAAGGTGCCGAAGGATGATGCCTCGGCGTTGTCACGGGCCCTATAAACTGTCAGGAGTTGGGTTGCTGAGCTGAGCACTGTGCATGGCTGCCACCCAGGCTGGTTTGTATGGTAATCCTGAGCCCGGATTAAAGGGCTACAGCCAGAGCATACGCACCGAAAAAGCGCGCTTCGATTAAAACCTACCAGGCGCCGCACCCCATGGTCTCGGCAAGTCACACTTTCATGGCTTCACCAAGCGTTCGCCTGGCTGCATGACGTAATGCTCTGCCCTAAGTTTTCATTCCCTTCCCTTCTTCGGAGAGCGGCCATGCCACTGTGCCACCTTGAAACCGCCAAGTGAAGCGAATGTCTCCACCTGCATCGAGCCCCCACAGAAGCTAACAACCCCAGACACAGTCCGTTCCACTGCTTGGGTATGGGCATCCGTGTGCGACCGACCTTCATTTCGGTTATGAATGGGTCATGCTTCACTGCACCATGGCGCGGATGCAGCCAGTGCATATTGAAAATCGGTGCAGCTTGTTGTGACGTGGCTTCATATAAATAACGGCCGACGTCATACGACTGCGTCACAGTTAATGCATCGCTGTTTTTTATGAACGCCTATATTGCAACAATGTGCCCGACTTGGAACGCTCCGTCGTCTACGGAATTATTCATAAACCGCTGCGGAGCATATTGTTCCAAATAACTGCGAGCGAGCAAAGGCCCGGCTAATTATAGTTCCTACACGTACAAGGAGTTTGACGAATCCAGTCCCAACAGCCTGCACTTTCTAGATATTCAGCCGAGCAGTCGGTTCGCAAGAAACGGTACAAGCCAGTCGTTCTAGGGACTAATTTGCCACCCGATGGGGATGTGCCAATCACAAACATATGTTAGAAACAAGGTGAATGTTGGAATCGTCCTCCTTACAAATGCTGACGTACATATTGCGCTTCTCGTAGGTCTCGTTCATTCGAAGGCTTCTGCCAATGGTTGGTTCCGTAAACGTTGGAGAATAGTGACATGTGAGTGATACGGAGGGAGATGAAACCATGGGCGCGCACATGGGGGCCGGTAAAAGAGGTGCCTCCCCCCCCCCCCTCTGTGTATTGATTCGTTGTTCCGCTTCGTACTGGTCGTAAAGGCCTCCCCCTCAGTAGGAAGCAAATATCAGAGAGGGGGAAGGGATGCGCTCTAGTGACACTTCGCAGATACTCCCCCCCCCCCCTCCAATAGAGAATCCTAAGCACGCATGTGCGTACAGAATCACGGGGGGCTATTTTACGGATGGGTGACGCGCCATTTCGGCTCTTCAGCTTTGTGTTCAACAACTGAACGAAGAGTAATCTTAGTACACGTATACGCATGAAAACGGCTCGTTTGGTGCACGCGTGTCAATTGACGTCGCAATACAGTCGAACCCCTTTGTGGGAGAAAACTGGCCACAGTAAAGTGCGGGTTGTCAAGAAAGTGCATACTAGTTACCCAGATTATATGAGACATCTCATATAAAAGACAATAATCGCTGCTCTGAGAGTGCCCAGTATTACGAGAGTGTTTAACTGCATACAGAAAGAGGCAAACGGCGGCTTGACAGCCCAAGATGGCGGCACCCAGTTGTCTTACGGGAAATAGTCTATGATAACGTCGATTTGACGTCATAACCAGTGACAGCTGAAACAGCCCGTGGAGGCGTGAACAGACGCAAATCAAATATGAACTTCCCGCAACGTGGAGAAAAAGGGTTCACAAGTGGATCGCCATTGACCCAGCAACAAGATCCCCCAAGCGAGCGACACGACCTCTGCCTGTGCGGGTCATCCCTCAGGGGGGGAAGAACACTCGAGCGTGCGTACAGACAGCAGCACCGGGAGCTGCCTATCTTATCTCCACCCGCGCACCGTGTAGCAGAGTCAGGAGAGCGCGGCTACATTGCGAATGACCTATATTTGCTACTGAAGATAAGAACTGCAACGCTTGCTACTGCGATATTACGCACCCTGCCACTACTGCCGTCAGCGTCTGTTCGCGCATGACAATTTTTTGCAGTCGTCGCCCGGCTTGCACCCGATTGGTCGTCCAGGAAGACGTATATCTAGCCTGACTGGCTCTTTTTCGTATCACAGTGGGTGTTTCTTTTGTTTTTTGTTTTTTTTTTTTGCAGCGAAAGCTGTTACGAGATCAGAACACGGGTCACGCGCGGCGCTGTAGTTGTCCACCGGCGGTGTCCGTAACCAGCATCGCAAGAAATTACAAAAAAAACTCATTTAACTCAGCGTTTTAGAACCAGGCGTCACACAACGCGAATTCCGTAACGAGTGGGTCGTCCGGTGCTCCAACCCATTAGAAAACCTGTTCTCGATCACCTTTTAATTGTGACGCATACCCACTTCAGGCATAATTCTTCATTGTCGTCAGCCACAGCATAAAAAAAATTTACACGAAATTCCTAGCAAGTGTGCAGCCGATACCACGCTTTTCCGAAGAATGACGAAGGATAGTATAATAAGTGATGACCTACTACCCAAAAATTATGATTATGATGGCGTAGTGTGTATCCAGACAGTGTGCTAGTAGCAGTTACCCGAAGAGTGTTTAGAAAAGATTCTGAAAGGCCACTCTTGTAGCTTTGGTTATGACTGATTTCTATGCAGCAAAATATAGGTATGCGCTTTTTCCGATGTTAATGACCCAAAGACGCATGCAGACATCAGTCGCATTGTTCGGCAAAGTCTGCGTGTTTAATGCAAACCACTTTTTTTTTCCTCAATGTCGGTTTCGCCAATGTTACTTTTTTATATTACTTTGTACGTCATTCTCTCCCTCTCTCTCTTTTTTTTTCGCTATCCTGTGCAGTAACGATGGAAGCGTTTTTTCGGGCGTCACGACATTGTCCCACGTCGCCTGCTGATGGGGTCGATCGTAATGGAGACGCCAAAATTACCGACCTTCGATCTACTCGATGACCACATTGGCTTCTAGTCGCTGCCAGACGTATACAGCGCCTAAAAGAGCCTATAGACAGGGACGAACAAGTGTACTCACAGGGTCCGCGCGGACTGTACGTCTCGTAGCTGGAGCACGAGACGGGCGACAGTCCGCTGCTGTTGGCCAGCCCGTTGAGCAGCGGCGGCGGCGGGGACAGCGAGCCGACCGACATCTGCGACGAGGGCGACGAGATCCACGCACCGGCGTCATCCTGGCGCACGCGCTTCTGAGGCACCCCGTCGCTGGCCGCACCGCCCACGCACGGGCTCGGCAGCCGGGGTTCCACCTGCGACCACGCGGAAATACACGCGCACGGCCTTCAGCAAAGCCTCCACTTAGACTGGGGATAGCTGGTTGCGCATACTTAAGTGCGAAAACAGCACACGGCCACGGAAAAGAAGCGCCGACTTACAACTGAAATTATATTCACAAGAAATCCCTTATAAATAGCGGAGTGAACAGTAAAAAAAAACAGTAAATAAAATAACCACGAAAACAGACACAAACACGCAGGCCACAGTGACTGTCGATGCTTTTACACCCCGGTATTCACAAACGCTCCTCGACTCGACTTTCACCCTTCACTTGACAGAGTGTCGCACTGCGCCGCTGATCGGTTGAAATGACGTTGCGCTACTCAAGAATAGCAGCAAATTATCACTTAAATGCAGTGACTTTCCCTGCCTAGAGATGGCGCTCCCATCGGCTTTTTCACGTGAAGGTTGAGCGTTGAGTGAAGGGGCCTTCTAGAATACGTGGGTTAGTAACAGTTTCGTATCTTTGCATCGGTATCGTATCTTTGCATCAAAGGAGAAAAAACAAAACATAACACTTAAAGTTAACATGCCCGGTCATCAAATATGAGGAACGGCCCCTGCGCAAAGCCGGGTCACCGAACGATAGTGCGGCATCTTTTAAGACTTTAGACGCTTCGTCCGACTGCAATGCCTTCAGACAAATAGCACGTTCTCGTTCAGAGTTATTGACCACACAAACGAGATGTTCAATATAGCACCGCAAAAAGAGAACCAGCAATATGGCACAAAAACGTAGTCACTGTAACGATAATTTTATGTTTGCCTGGTTGCTCTACGCGGCTCCAGATGGCACCACCGATTTCGACCGCTAAAGTATGCCGCTCCCGTAACCCGGTTATCCGCCAGCTCTAATGGCGTATTTAGTGATCGTTTAAAAGCGTCCGGAGCTTGTTTGAAAGTGGTTGAATAAACTGGGCATTACACCGCGAACAAGCAGGTAAGGAAGCCATGGATCTCGTAGTTTCTTATCATGTATTAGACCTGTCTTATTTTGGTAGTAGTGCCAAGGTTCAAATCCCTCAGAACCACCAGAATGTATACACCACAAGTTTGCGGACAGCCTCACCTTGACCACACTGGGCAGGTTGGGCGAGAGCGCGGGCGGCGAGCCGGCGGCCAGGCCCCCGGCTCCCTGGGCGGCCTGCAGCAGCATGGGTTTCATGGAGGCCACCTCGTCCGAGGATGGGGCAGCCGCCGCCGACCGGCGCCCCAGCGGCTGCAGCTGCAGCTCAGAGAGCATCGGGTCGCCGGACGGCGCCTCCACACCGAGCGACCCGGGTAGGCATTCGTACTCGGAATCTGCACGGGAAGAAAAGGGAAAGGCATGCGCTTTAGCGACGACGCAATCATACACCCCTTCATATCAAACGTCACGACCAGCACGCGTGAGGCGTTGCGCAGATGAAACAGCATAGCGAGTTCGGCAAGTTGGTGGCCGTTCATCGTAGAGAAATTTACAGCGCGACGTTTAAATACAGACAGTGATGGGACACAGCACTAAACTAACGACTGAAATTTATTTGAAAAAAAAAGGAAGGAACACGTACGGGAAACATTGGCCCATCACAACTGTGCGCATGTGCACAAGTATCACAACACACCATGATTCATGTCTTGTCTAACAGGTAGTTCTTAATCTGGCCCGCCGCGGTGGTCTATAGTGGCTAAGGTACTCGGCTGCTGACCCGCAGGTCGCCAGATCGAATCCCGGCTGCGGCGGCTGCATTTCCGATGGATGCGGAAATGTTGTTGGCCCGTGTGCGCGGATTTGGGTGCACGTTAAAGAACACCAGGTGGTCGAATTTCCGGAGCCCTCCACTAGGGCGTCTCTCATAATCATATGGTTTTGGGACGTTAAACCCACATATAAATCAATCAATTATGTTCTTCATCTGAAGGAGTGATAGATGGATGACTTATGCACTTGCTATTAGACGTAAGAAAATATGCTTCGGCCATTTCACGCACGCACTAATCAACATGTCTATACTTGATAGCCGCTTTCTGTAAGTGGGGCACACACCCACATGATCTACAATGAGCTTCCAAACGAGACGTGATTGCACCACGTGATAGCGTCAGCTCATGCTCTCGTAGGCGCACGTTTATGCAACGCTCCGTTTGGCCTACGTATTCGCAGCCGAGAGACAGTGGAATGGCATAAACCACAGCACTATAGCGCAAGGCGCACATTTGTGGACATGATTGGACACACATTTGTTCCCTGTCCCTTCACTGTCTGTATCTAAACGGTGCGCTGTAAATTATTCTACGAGAGACAGCATAAACCGAAGGCAACGGAACGCTGAATGATGTGCAACAACAGAGTGATAGCCGTATTACGAAGTTCTATGATAATGCAGAAGATATCTTCTCAGCCTAATGAAAATAATAATAATAATAACAGGGTTTAGGCGGCAAATAGCATTGAACTATCTGTCGCAATGAACGAGTTCAATTAAGGAAGTCTCCACAACCTGTACACTCTATATAAACTAACATGCAATGATCAGAGGGAGTACTTTAGATTTTACCTGTACAGTCGTTTTTTTTTTTTTTCACTACATCACGCATTGACCGCCGTATTCATGGGACTCCAGAGGGGGGAGGTCAGCAATGCCGAAATAACACAGTCCGGCACATACACGACAGCGTAGATTACGGTGATCGTGAGGGTATACGCCATTGGCACGTAGACGGCAAGTCGACGAATATATATAAAACAAAGCAAACTTGAAACGACGAAGACCGGTGACGTGGGCAGCGGAATGCCATTAGCCAAGGAGGAGTCTCGCGCGCGTCGAGGGTGTGTGCGAGACGGGGCGCGACGCAATTTCGACGGGCAAGAACCGCTGATAAATGACCTTATGGTTGCTTACGTTCCTGATTGCACTGTTGTTTCCTTTTTTTGTTCTTTTAAGAAGCCTTCCGTACTGGAGGACACTCGCGGCGCAGGTGATTTCCTATTTAGGAAACATGTCACAGGCACGACAAGACCAGCAGGCGGCGAAGGCCGAGTGAGGTAAAGTTCGCACGTTCTCTTATTATCGCTATTACTTTTCTATCCCGATAACGTGTACTAAACGCGCGGATGATGGATGCGGGCAGCCCGTTCACTCTCTCTCATCTTCCGGTTTTCGGCGGCAATTACTTTCGTGTTCCCAAATAAAAAAAAAAGAATCGCAGCGTATCTACAGAGCGAATGATGAGTGGGCCAAAGCTTGGAAGCCTTTTATCGGTAAACTGTGAATCGTCCATGCATCCGTCCACCCGTCTTTCCGTCCGCCTGTACGTCTGTCCATCCGTCATCTCGCATCTTTTCACCATACCGCCATCTCGCATCTTTTCACCATATATTCATCGTATACAAGTACCACCATCTAGCGAACATTTGAAGAACCAAACAAGAAATGGCTACCTATAATACATACATCGAGGACGCACGATCGACCCACGGCTTAAGGAGCTTCGCTCCTAAAAAATGTCGCAGTTTCGGCGCAATGCCGAAGCAATGAATGCGATATCAACCAATCGTACGAAGCAAAGCTATGATATTTAGGAACTAAACCGTAGATGTGGTGAACAAGGTGTAATGTGCGCTGACCTGCAGCGTTTCTCGCACGCAAAGCAGTACGCGCGTTCTTCCTGTGTCAGGGTGCGAGCCCGCCTTGCTTCAGCGCAACTCCGTTGAAGCTCTTCCGCAGGTGTTTCTACGACTCGGGGTCGCATCAACAAGGCCAAACCACAACACCCACAACAAAACATTAGCTGTAGTTACAGCTCTCGGTGGAACGACCTGTCACAACATTTTTCGTACTGCTTAATTCTACAAGCAAGACATACAAGCTTTGTTCACGGATGCTTCTAAGTTCATTAAAAGTAAGCCAATATATATATATATATATATATATATATATATATATATATATATATATATAGTGTGTGTGTGTGTGTGTGTGTGTGTGTCTCACCGATAGTGAGATGAATAGCATAAGCGGCGCGGCCTAACGCGCATCACGGCTTAGTAATTGTTCGGTCATGTGTGTTGTGTATTGTAATATATCTTGTCCCCACGTGTCTGAAAAGTTGGCCTACAGTTGGTTAACGCAGAGTGCTGATGAGCGAGGGGAACCCATTTATATATATATATATATATATATATATATATATATATATATATATATATATATATATATATATATATATATATATATATATATATATATATATATATATATATATACAGAGAGAGAGAGAGAAAGGAAACGGCCACCGCGTCCTTTCTTGCAACAAAAATAAAAAAATAAAAAATATTGGGACTTTAATTTCCGCAATTACGCTTGCGCCCTTTGAGCGAAATTTCGCGACAGCCATATGCAAATCGTGGGCGCAGATAACATGCCCACTAATCTGCCGGATCCTCTCCAGCAAGAACGAACGGGTCGCGGGCGCACAGCGCAGCCGTCCAGCTGGCGCTATAATAGGCCGATAAGAGACGAAAAACGAGGGAGGACGTTCGAGAGATAAAGCCAACGCAGCACAGATGATAACTTTCGGGCCGGCGGCGCGCTGGTTATCAGGCCAACGCTCCCATTTGCAGAGCACGCGTTTTTATTTTCAAGGAACAAACCTGAAGTTCTGGCGGGAAAACGGGCCAAAGGGCTCACACAAGAATGAATCTATATATATATATATATATATATATATATATATATATATATATATATATATATATATATATATATATATATATATATGTATATATATATATATATATATATATATGCTTTTCTATATCACGTGTATCCGGTCAATTTTCGACCATCGCCGATCACGCTGAAGAAAAAAAAAACGTGCAGGTATATGTGAATGTGAGATTATTGAGGCGTGATATATCGCAAAAAGGTTCTCTGTTGCCAAGAGGGCACTTAAAACTTTGGGCCCCCAAGGAAGCCTGTGTCACGCCAAATAATTTATATAATACTGCTGGTTTGAGCAAATGATACGAAATAATTTTTTTTTCATATATTTCAAGGCGCTGCTCTTTCATTACTATAATAGTTCAGTCATCTGTGTTTGAATTTTCTGTCGTTTTCACTTTGCATAAAAATTGTAATATGCTTCACGTTTGCCGTTTCTTATAAAAACGGTAAAGGTAAATATATTACTGGCGCAAAAAAAAATGTTTACATGCGCCTATTATAAATGATTAAAATACTTCGGCAGCAAATGAATAAAAAATATTGCCAAAATATCGCGGCAAAGATGGGAAAAAGCATTTTGACCAATATATTGCGGCTTAATTTTCGCAATACAGCAGTCATAATAAAATACGGATTTTATATTGCAGCATAGTATAGTTTGTCAGTAAGATAGGCAGAAAGAAAGATTCAAAAGAGTAGGTTTTGTTTTAAGTGATAAAAATATTAACCCAACTGAACAATCACAAGGTAGTAACTAAGCTTGCCTTTGCTTCACCTTCACTGCATAGCACGTCAGCGCGAGGTTTCAGAAGGGGCTTTTCGGCAGCGATTTATGCAACACACACAACTACTTAGTCACTAGTTTCAGTAATACTGCAATATATAACGTCAAAATGGGGCAGTTGTGCTTTCTTTACGGAACGCCACATCACAAATTGTGGCGGTCTGTGACGTCATGATGCTCAGCTTGTGATATTAGGCGGCGATTTTTTTTTGTTTTTTGCGACACTTTACGCGTCTGACGAGGCATATAAGGCTCTCGCCTTAGTTAACGGACACCCAGCCAACCTGCAAACAGCCTAAAGGGGTACTGACACAAAACTTCGCGGCCGAGATAGCCAGCGGGGGCGATTCGCGTGAACATTCGTATATGGTCTGAAAAATATCAACGGCAAATATAGCATGGGGTGTATCTTAAATTAATTTTGAAGTTTGCCCGAGCGCTCGACTCCATCGTGCCATCGACACCCTCGATGGTGCACTGTACTCGAAGGGGACTCTTTGGGGACCATCTACTTCCCTCACGTCACAAGGCGCTGCGAACAATAGAGCGAGTTATGATGACGTCATAGCCGCCATTTTTTTTTGCTGCGTTTGTTCCCGCAGTCTTGGCGGCTTGTCGCGGGTGCATGGCCGTAGCGCAGTTCTTTCCCCCCCCCCCCCTTTTTTTTTTTGACCCTGGAGTGCCGTTTCCTATTCGAAAGTAATTCTTTATGCAGACCTCGCGGAAAGTGTGTCATAGTTCTGTGTGTTGACTCGATCGAGAGCTGCACACGCTAGGTAACGTCAGCTGCGCCCAGTTTTTGGAGCTCTCTG